TCTACCCTAGCGCCTCGGAAGAGGCTGTGGAGGACGTCTTGCGTTTCCTCACCTCTGCGTGGCGTGGGGTCGACGCCGCTCAGGGGAGGGGCGGGACTTCCTGTCCCGCGCGGGCAGAACTTCCGGAAGAGCCGGAAGACCCTCTACCTCGTAGAGTCGAGAGGTTCCCGGCTGCAGGAGAGGGAGGCGAGGTCCTGGACGGTCGGGGGGACTCCAGGGCCGGTACCTGAGCTTGGCGTCATGGTGAGTCCTTCTGGGAGGGGAGGGCCCGGAGGTCAGTCCTGGGAAGGGAGCCGGTCGAGTGTCCCGCGGAGGATGGAGCGGGCGGGAGCCATGGGATGAACCGCCGGGCAGGACCCACCTCCCTTGCAGCGCCGGAGCTCCCGGGCCCCCGAGAAAACCCCTTCTGCCCTGCCTCGCCGCGAGTTCTGTCCCGGAGTACGGAGCCGCAGCCCGAGTGGTCGTGGCCCATTCACAGTGTACGGCGCGTGGTCCCAGAGTTGACCTTGCCGGGTTGGTGGTTTCAGGTGGTCCCAGCATTGACCTTGCCTGGCTGGTCACCTCCGCCTCTCCTTAGCTGCAGGGCCGTGGCCAGCACTTCAGATCTTAGAAATGCCTTGAGCATCGTGTCAATTGATCTAGTAACTTCATTGAGGTTAACACACACACACATTTTATTCCAATACTAGTAACTTCTACGGATCCCCATGTAGAGGATGAGCGCCTGTCACTTAAAGGAACGGCAAGGTCAGCTCTTACCTTTCCCACGCAGCCCTTTTGGAATTGGAAAACGGGCCAAATAAAAAAAAATCCGGATTAGTAAGGAAAGACTGAACTCGAAAGGAATATTGCAAGGGTGTGGGGGAAGGGCCTGTTACAGTAGGGAGAATGCCTTGACCATAGGTCTGCAGGAGTTTCAAAAGTTAGGCAAAAGGGGGTTTTCTTTTATAGAGGGGAGGAAACAAGTGAAAAGAACCGGGTGTGCAGAAGTGAGATGAAAGGGTATATGGCCTGATAGTAGATCAGAGATTGTTTTACCCTCAAACCAGCCTACCTGTAAAGGAGTTATGGGGTTGTATACTGTTTCAGTTTGAGGGTGGGCCAAAGTTCAGGGAACTAAGGGAAGGATCTTAAGCAGAATTTGGGTAACATTTTATTCCAATTGATCTACAGGGGCAAGTAGTTCAGCTAGTCATTTATGAAGCAAAGAATGTGAATTTGCAGGTTTATGTCTGGCCTTGTCATATGTAAACAAGGGGGTCTTCTGTGAGCTTTACCCAAGTCATTTGGGGACTAGTGGTTCTTTGCAGTAAGTCATTTCCAGAATACAAAGGGGTGGGGTGGGGGTGGGTGAATGTCTTAACCTTCGCTGTTTTCCAAGATCACAGGGGTCCAGTAAAATTCAGCATTGTCAGTTTCTTGACTATATAAAAGATTTCAAATCCTCCTCTGGAAGGGATTCTTTCTTGGAATTTAGTTCCAGTTTGCCATGCCTAAATATTGACATTGTTCAGCTATTGTGTATGATGATTGACTTTTGAATGACTTTTAGAGACTTAACTGAATGTGAAACAAAAGAAACTCCAAATAATGTGGTTCCTAGCACACTCTACTATGCTATGACTAGTAACTTCTGACTTTTTTGGGCAGTGTGTGTGTGTTAACCTCAATGAATAATACAGTATTATTTTTTTCTTTAGTATCAATGAAATTAGTGAAAGGGAACAGTCGAACTGGAAGGAGCCAAAGATAATAATTACTCCTCCCACCACCACCACCAATTTTACAGAAGGAAGAATCTGAGGTTTAGAAATAGACAACGATTTACCTAAACTAACAGTAGTTGGCATAGTCTGTATTAAAATTCAGATCATTTCTTAAATTTAAGCTCTTTTTGACTCCTTGGTCTTAAAAGTTAATATAGAGTGTAATGAAATCCTTGAATTCATAATAATCACAGAGAAGCTGAACGTGAACTTATTCTCAGTATTCTGTGATGCTAAAAACGGTAGCTTTGTTTTAAGCTAAAGTAAACAAACTCATGCTGTTTCTCAAAATGTAACTTAAGAGAATGTCACCTGGAGAATGTCACCAGCAGCCAGGTAGTTGACTTTCTCCATTCAGGTATTGCTTATATTTCTAAAGTAAGGTACTTAACTCCACTTAAGCTTTCCCAGATATGAAATTGATAATGTCTGTATGTGTACTTGTGGTCAGTGCTTGGAATCCTTCATAAGAAAGGATTTAGCCACTAAAGGAAGTTGACAAGGGTTGAATTTATTTAGGATTCAGCTTGGTTGAATTGAAAACTTTTGCAATGATTGAAATGATATGAAAATGATGCGGTACTTGAATTCAGAAGACCCAGATTCTGCCCATCATTAGTTATATGAATTTGGCAAAATTACCCAACTTAGATAAGAGTTCCATTTTCCTCTTAGATAAGAGAAATGGGTCTTGATAGGAATTAGAACACCTAACTCAATTTATGATTCTTTGACTTCACTCAGGACTTTTTCAGAATAAGTACATGTTTTTTATTAAATAAGGCTTAGTCTGATTTTCACTTTTCTCCCCCATGTTGATTTCCCAAGTTTGATTTTTTAAATCATTTTTTAAAAATATATCAGGTAGGTAGTACTTGGAATGTTTGTTCGTATGTTTGACAACTATCTTAAATGCTACTCCAAATAGAAAATAAGGCCTTGGGACACCTTGATTTTATTTTTGTTTTAATAGATATAAACTCATTCTCTTCTCTTATTCTCTGATTTATTATGTAGGTCAAAATTCAATAAATGCCTGTGCATGTAATAAGCTCCTTTTGTGAGCAGATGACAATAGGATTATATTACAGACAAAAATTTTTTTTGTTTCATGTTGAGAAAATGGATAGTCTGTAGACATTTTACTAAAGGAATAAAACTATATGTTTTATTGTTTTTGTAACTTACAAACCAACTTTAATCAAATAGACCTTTTCACCATTTAGCCTGGTTTGTGGGAGAAAAGTAGATTAGAACTAACTCCTGGAATTGCAGGTATCTCATGGCTTGTTTTATCTATACAGCATCCTGTGGTAACTGCTGGAATCCGGCTATGGTCTGTTGGGGTAAAAAGGTTGTAAACCTCTGCCTTAAAGTTTAAGAGAAAGTTTTCCTTTTGGGAGGTGATGAGGGTGTTGGAAAGAGAATGTGGTAAATATTATAAGGGAAATACATGTAATGTGCTCAAAGAGTACAGAGGAAAGAATTCAATTCTAACTGGAGAGGGGGCAATGGTAGTCGGTGACTTCAGCTGCATTTTAAAAAGTGGGTTAGGGCACTAGTTCTCAAATTTGGGTTTGTTTAAGATTCACCTATGATGCTTGATAAAAATGCTTATCTAGATCCTGTTATTGGAGGGTAGAGTTTTAGATTCTTATTTTTAATGAGTTTTATAGTTAAGCCTGAAACTGGTGCTCCTTAAGCCACACTTTGAGAGAACTGTACTGTAGACATTAGAGACTTTGATGAAGGTATTAGAGGTTTTTGTGCTTAGTGGTAATCAGACATGTTCATTTGTTGATGTGGTGGATTATTTCAATTGAATTTTGAATGTTGAACTAGCCTCACATACCTGGAATAAATCCCACTTAGTTGTGGTGTATATATTTTTTATATGTTGTTGGATTTGATTTCCTAATATTTTGTTTAGGATTTTTTGCATTTATATTCATGAGAGATGTTGGTCTGTAGTTTTGTTTGTTTTTTTTCTTATTATGTCTTTGTCTAGTTTTGGTATTAGGGTAATGCTGACCTCATAGAATTGGTTAGGAAGTATTCCCTCTGCTTCTATCCTCTGAAAGAGAGTATAGAGAATTGGTATAATTTCTTCCTTAAATGTTCGGTAGAATTCACCAGTGAACCCTTTGGAATCAAATTGATTATTGATTCAATTTATTTAATAGATAGAGACCTATTCAGATTGTTTACTTCTTGTGTCATTATTGGCAAATTGTATCTTTCAAGGAATTGGTCCATTTTACCTAGGTTATAAAATTTGTGGGCATAGAGTTGTTCTTAATGTTCCTTTATGAGCCTTTTCATGTCCATGGGCTCTCTGATGTCTCCTTTCATTTCTGATATTAGTAATTTGTGTCTTTCCGTTTTATCTTAGTTACTCTGGCTGTAGGCTTATTGGTTTTATTGATCTTTTTGAAAAACTAGCTTTTGGTTTCATTAATTTTTCTCTATAGGTGTCCTGTTTTCAGTTTCATTGAATTTTGCTCTAATTCATATTACCTATTTCTTTTCTTCTGCTTACTTTGGATTTAATTTGCTCTTTTACTAATTCCCTAATGTGGAACCTTAGGTGATTGATTCTAAATGTTTTCTAATATGTGCATTCAATGTTATAAATTTCCCTCTTAGCACTGCTTTTGCTGCATCCCATAAATTTTAAAACTTTTTTTAAAAAAAATGTTTTTATTGATTTGAGAGAGAGGAAGGGACAGACAGAGAGAGAAACATCGATCCGCTGCCTCCTGCAAGCCTCCTACTGGGGATCTATTAGGTGTAGCGATTAATAATGGCGGATTTTGTAATCAAAGAAAACATGATAATTTCAAGAGAAACACAAAAGTGCTTTTATTCAAAGTAATGTCCATC